TATCTGTCATGTTAACTTTTTAACCTATTTTACATAAATAATTATACTTTCGAGATTTTCATATCATGACATTAATTACCAATGTATTTTTTCGCATTAATAAGTTTATCTCGTGGATCGTAATTTATGTCCATCAAAGTTTGTTCATTTAATTGCTTAGCAACAGCCAAATTTTTAGTTCTTTCGCTGGCSTTACATTTCAGAACTGCACTTTTAATCTAAAACCATTTCGTTACTAAATACAATTAAATAAGTCACACGACAGACAACATGTCTGGTATATGTTACCGTGTATAATTCTTCGAATGTCTTTTCATTCATGTTTGGGGGACGATTGGCGGGTTGTGACAACGGTTCTATATGTGCCATAATTGTTTTTAATGGTTTTTTCTCTCTTTTCTAAGCATATTATAAGATAAATCATAGTTTACAAACCTATTAATCAGTCTACATATATATTACTGGAGCCAGGGGGCTTGGTGGTGGTCGTCTGGGTGCACCAAATATTTTGAGTTTTTTCAAATAAGTGAGCCACTCAATTTCGCTTTTAAAACGTGTTGAGACAATTTTTTCATCCCTTTGAATCATAAAACAAAAATATAATATTCATAATTATTTGTCTTATACTTATATTACATATCATCTATGAACGGTCTTGGCTGGGACAGTGTCATTAATCGATCGCTAATTATTTTTATTTTGTTTCCTGGTGACTTAGTTGGAGAGTAATAGCTTTTACAACTATCATTTTCTATTTTAGGTTTTGCTAAATATTTCAATCTATCTGTAAGTTTGGCTTTAAGAGCGGCACGAGAAATCACAAAAGGTCCCTAYACATTCCATTATAAAGATATTTACAGTTTTATTTATTAGGTAATCATAATCGACCTCGAATTTTGGATTTGGCCATGGTCGCAATTTCCGACATATAGGTCTACTCAACAATTCTAAACGAATTCTTCGACACATTTTAATGCAATTTTCATGTGCCGTTGCTGTCTTCTTTTTTTTACATAGGTTTGGATTAGAAAATTTTTCTTGCTAAGAAAATTCAAAATATTATATATATTTGYAAATTAAATTATACTCAAATGAATGAAATATCAAAATCTTGATGGATTTACCAGACCATCTGAAGATACYCCTAGGGCTCTAAGAAACTCATTTTCGTCATAGTGGTATGACATTATTTTTTTGCACAATTTAAAATACTGAYATTAACTATATATGATTAGTATTAATWAGTAAATCACATTTGTTTATTGAATATTTTATAGTTACTTTGAACATTATTTATTGATGACTACGAAATTGTTTCTAGGCGATTATTTAACATAATATTAAAATAAAAAGAAATTTTTAATAAATCACATGTATCAATTGATAATAATATAATAYAAATACAATATAATATTCTTATTGCTAAATATTTATTTAAAAATATATTCTATATAAAATAAAACAGTGTTTTAATAATATTTAAACTAAGACGAAATACAATTTCTAAAAACTCTATAGTATGGAAGTGATGTGATCGGTCTTTCACAATTTGCCTCTCCGAAATAATGTAATCGGACATAATCATCACATGACAGGATGCGATCATTATTGCAATCCTGAAAATATTCAATATTCAGTAGGTATAAATAATTGAAGAGTTATTAGTCGTTAATTTCTTTACGAACAGAACATAATTATTAGTTTTGCGTTTTTTAATATCTGTAATTATTTATATTTAATATTKATTTATGAATTTGTTGATATGTATTATAGTAAACATAATATTAATTTTAAAATTATAAGATTTTAACGATCGAAACAGGATAATTTGGAAAAGTAACTAATAATTGTGAATGAAATATTATGAAGAAAATAGCGGGATATAAGGTAAGTGTTGAATGCAAGATGCACAACTTCCTTTGAGATAAAATATTAGAGAATGAATAAGTGGCAAGGACTCGATGTTGACAGATACGATGATAATTTAATAGTTAAATGTAATCATTT